ATATGACGCAAAGATTGTAGCAACCATCATCAAAAGTTGCAGTCGGTATCCTTATTTGAAATAAAACAAATGGTTTGAAATAATTTGAATAAGAATTTGCATTATGAATTTATGAATAGAAACTCTAGCAGAAATGAGGGTGAACTTTGAATTTTATTTTATTGTGAGATATGCACCCCACTGATCATTACCAATTATTTTTGTTAATATAACAAAAAATTGAACAAGGAAATAGATTTTTTCACATTCAATCACAAAAAGCCAGGAGAAATATATACAACTTGAGAAAAACAATGATGCTTTAATAATGATTCAGAAAATAATGGTAAAAATTATTTAATAGAAATAAAATTAGATTCTTATAAATTATTCTAAATATATATTTTTTTTAACATAGTTAGTGATTCTGTTATTGAAAGCAAATTCTAAAAAAGAAAGGATTGGTTTATGTGAACCACATTAATGTCAGCATACCAATACCAAAAAGAAAAGGATGATTTTTTAATGATGTCAGCTGATGAAACATAGATCTTGATTCTCAAGCTCAGGTAAAAGCAACCTTAAGATTGTTGCACATGCTTCTGAAATGGTGTTTTTTTTTTAAGTAGCTATTTTTAAGTGAATTTATTGCTTTGCTGTATCTTAGGGGAATCTTTCTCAATATGTGGTAAAATATCCTAGCAAGTCTTGCTCTGATTTTGCTGCAACCTTTATCACAAGGTGTTGAAAGAAAAAGGGCTCAATATGTATCTAGCAAAACATAAAGAATGGGTGGCATTCACTGGACAATCACCTTACCTTTTTTATCTTTGGTGGTGTTGAATAATTTTCAATTTCAGACCTGGGGTTTTGGATCTGATTGTAGCTGAGGGAACCCTTTACAACATGACCAAATCATGCAACATTTTTTCCATGATGGGGTCAGGAATGTCTGCATTGATTGTGTATGTGGGTTTTGAAATTCAACATGTTTGAAGAAATGCCTCATTTACCTAATTCACCATTCCAGGGCCCTTCTACAACTTGTTCCAGCATATTTCAGTAGTGCAGGTAGATATGTAATAGGTGATTGCTTGGCATGGTGTTGCTTGCAAGTGGGTCCATTTGTCTTTGGCCACCATCAGTTGTAGAAGGCCTTACACATTTATTTCTTTTTAAAAAAAGGGAACAAATTCGAAGGCAAGGTTGTGGTTTTTGATAAATTTTTGCATTTTTGGTGGCCAGTATCTGATTCTAATTTTGAAAATTTCTTCTTTTCTCAAGCATCAATGTGGCTAGTACCAATACAAGCAGGACTTAGCTATCTATTGAAGGTGGTATTTTTTAATATACTCATAGTGCCCTTTCCATTGGGATTAAGGTTGCTTGCCAAAACTCCTCCAGGAATCAATCAGCAGAGTTTTGGCAGGTTACACATTAATTGTTTATTAGAGTTTCAGCAGAGTTTTGCATTTTGAGGTTTGGCCATTTTGGCATAGTTTCAACAGGATTTTTGATAAGGCTTAATATAGTTTTGCCATGGTTTCAGCAATTACTAAGGAGGTTTCACCCATAACCTTAATTGGGATAAACATCAAAGCTTTCAGATCAGGGTTCCAAATAAGATCAGAAGTTTGACACTGTTTGATTCAACAAAACTCACAATCAGTACACTGTAATTTGTGCCTGTTGGCTTTTTACTTGATAAATTAGGTATAACTTTTATTATATTTAAATTATTCAGATACATGTATTAAATTAAGATTTTTAATATATTATATATTGTGAAATAGTAAATCTTGTACCTATCAACTACCCGGTTAATATTGACCAATTATAACGAAGTTACTAGGAAGTCACGTGACGCGTCAAATATTATATTATTGTAACGGCTACGCTGCACATTGCGCAGTGTCATATGAAAGACTATTCCTATTCATATTTCTATATTTATATTTATTAACCTTCTCATCTGATGTAAATATTTATTAGAATTAGTAATTAGTTAATAAGCATATTATTGGAGAGTATGGTAGCACATATCACATTATTTGTACTGCCTCAAGAGGTATAAATACACTTGGCTTTAGACCAAGTTAATAAATCAATTGTTAATATTGTTAACAACAACCTTGATAACAACATAATAATAATAACTCTTAATAAATATATAACCTTACATAAAATAGTCTTTGACTGTAAGTAACTAATAAACCCAGTATGGTTGACCCCCCAGCCCTTCTAATGGTTAATGGTCTGGCCAACCTTTAATTATTAGTTGGGAACCCTTTTAATTATTCAGATACATCTCAAGGGGACGCCTTTGGGATATAATCATTTACATAGAACCTAGGGACCCTTTTATCCAGGAAGATAAAAGTTATTTTTATTATTAATCTTTGACCGTAAGTCAGCAAGTAGGCTGTGTGTCATATATATATAGTTAAAGGAAACTTGACTGTAAGTCAGCAAGTAGGCTGTGTGTCAAACAATAGAATCAACCATAAGTCAGTGAGTAGGCTGTGTGTTGAGCTATAAATAACCTATTAATTGGGAAACTCGGATTGTACACTCGCAATATGAATTATTTTTTAATTATTTGTTATCATAGGAGGAAAGACACAAAACCACTAATTTTTCTTCCTGCGAATGAAACCTATGGTTCTGTATATAATTATTATTCCAATTCAATTGATGAAGTTCCTGATATACTATCAGTTTCATATTCAACATTTTGTCGCATATGGAAAACATACCTTCCTGATATAAAATTCCTTACTTCCAGAAGTGATTTGTGTGGATTCTGTAAGGAACATAGGTTCAATGCAAAATATTGGACACAGGAAGAAAAGGATAAAAAAATTATAGAATGGGGTAACCATGTCACTTGGGCATTTAATGAATGAGAATATTATAGGTATATATTTATATTCATTGAATTATATTTTTATAAATAATTTTATGAAAGGCAAATAAATAAAATTTAAAATATATTTAATTTACAAATAGGGTAGCTCATTTTTTAAAGCCTTATATAAAGTTCAAGTATTTGGTATTTGTGAAGATTTTAGACCTAGACAGGTAAATAATTAAAATTTTTTCAATTGATTTTAAATTATATAATAAATAATCAACATAATTACTATCTAGATTAATTATCTCATAGAAGAATCACAATTTGTTGGCAAAGGAGCTGATACTGTTATTTCTTTAGTGCATAATTATTTTGAATTGTATGGTCTTGGTGAAAAAGAAATAATCATTCATGCTGATAATTGTTCAGGACAAAATAAAAACAATGCAATGATTCAGTATTTAGCATGGAGAATATTAACTGGTAAGCATAAAAGAATTACATATTCTTTTATGGTCCCTGGCCATACTAAATTTAGTCCTGATGGATTTTTTGGACTATTCAAATTGAAATTAAAAAATTCTGAAGTTGATGATTTAGAAGATCTTGTTAAAGTTGTAAATTCATCAACAAAAGGTTATAATATTGCACAAACAATTTTTGATGAAACTGGGGAAAGGAAAGTCTTATTTTACAGTTGGACTAAATACTTAAAAACTTTTTTTAAACCATTGCCAAACATTTCAAAATATCATCACTTTATTTTTAATCAAGAACAACCAGGAATTATATATGTTAAAAAAAGTATTGACAGTGAACTTTTAATAGTAGACATAACTGGAAATTTAGATAATATTGACCAAGTTTTGGAAAGAAAAAATCCAGTAGGTTTATCTGCTGTAAGAAAAAAATATTTAAGTGAAGAAGTTTCTAAGTATATACACTCCCTGGACAAAAGTATCCGGACACCTGTTTTTACTAATTACACAAAAACGCGCATAATAACTACACATAAATTTTTATCAAAATGTAGCCTAGGTTTTGATGAATATGCATGTAAATTTTGATACTCTCAAAATGTCTAAAAAAATTTTAATTAAAATAATCCGAAATTCGACGAAAATTGCAATATCATTTTTTGTTTCTCAAATTTACTCAAAATCCTACATAATAATAAAAATAAAATTTATATCGATTTATAGCTTAGATTAA